CCCCCGCGCCTCGCCCAGCCAGTGAGCGGGAACCGGTCTGTATGTGGGATCCGAACCCTCGGTGGGAGCGCTGCCGCGCTTCCCAAGCGGCGCACTGTAGCAGGGCGCCACCGGGCCGGCCCCTATTTTCTTTCTTTTTTTTTTTTAAAGATGACTGGTAAGGGGATCTTAACCCTTGACTTGGTGTTGTCAGCACCATGCTCAGCCAGTGAGAGAACCAGCCATCCCTACATGGGATCCGAACCCGGGGCCTTGGTGTTATCAGCACCGCACTCTCCCGAGTGAGCCATGGGCCGGCCCAACCCTATTTTCAATTAATACTATTTTTGGAATGTTTTACAAACACATTTGAGATTCCTTAAAATTTAATCTGAGGCTATAAAATCTTTTTATTTGTTTTTTGAAACCTAATTGATTGTACATATCTGTGGGATACCATGTTGAATATCATTAACTGTGTGCAATATGTGATGCTCAAATTGAGATAATTAGTATATCCAACATTACACAATGTGATCATTTTTTGTAAGGTTATAAAATCTCAAAATCTATTAAGAATGAACGACTTGGATGACGGGGTCTTTCTTGGTCTCCCTCTGTGTTGGGGGCATGGCCCTGGCAGGCTGTGTCTCCTGGCCTCACCATCTTTGCCTGGGCTGTGATGACAGTTTTGTAACTGGTCAGACTTGCCCTTTGTTGTTCTGATGTCTGTGCAGACACTGGAGTAATGTGTTAAAATGCAAATATGATTACGTTACTCTCCTGCTTCAAAGTTGTTGATGGTTCCCTGCAGGATAAACTGTAACTCCTGAGCACGGTCTGCAGGTCTCTTTCTAAGACTCACATCATGAGCTGCCTTTGACCACTGGTGACTTCTAATTTCATTCTCTTGGAACACACGTAAGCTGTTTCATATCTCTGAGTCTTCCTCAGGCTCTTCTCTCTGCTCTGAATGCATTTTTCTACTTCTTCTCTTGGCTTAGTCTTTGAGACTCAGCTTAGCTATCATCTTCTCTGGAAAGTCCTCCCTGACTTTGTGATTTATTTCTGGCTTGTCCCTTGCGGGGTGGCATCCTACTACCTGTGCACTTTCCTTTATGCGCCTGATGCATTCTTTGTAGACTGTTAAGGTTTAGTTCCTTAAGCGCTGAGAATGCCTATTCAGCACTGAGCCTGGATCCTTCTTGCTTTATATACTCGGTGGTCAGCACAGAGCCAGGCATGGAGTTGATCTCAGGATGTGTGTGTTGAACTCAAATGAAATGAGAAAGAATAAGCCTGAGTGACAGCCTTTGAATTATCTGGTAAAGTTGTTTTCAGCAAAGAATTATAGAAGCTTAGACAGATTTAGGTACATCAGATCTTGAATAGGTTCTCCAACTTTGTAGGAGCTTCCTCAGGGAGCTCTTTTTATGTCTCATAAGTGTAATGGCCGTGCCTATTAAAGAGCATTAAAGAAAGTGGAGGCAGTAGCAGTGGTGTAATTTATCTTATGTTATTTTCACAAGTTTGTTATTCTGAGGAAATTCAGTATCCCATTAGTATGAGTTTCATGTTGTTTCATTGTAATTTTGTTGAACCTAATGACGTCACAACTAATAAACCTGCCATGTAGTAACCAAATATCACTCAGCAAAATTTGATATTCATAAGTGGAGGAAAACTGTATCCCTTTTGATGTGACTAGTTTCCTTATTGAAAAATATATAAGCCTTATAAAGGGAGAATCATGCCTTAAGAGGATGTTGCCAAGTGTATAAAACAGAGATACTGTTTAGTTTTAGTCTATAAACGCAATTATTCTTGGGGGATGAACAGGTAATGCCTTTTCCTGGCACCTCATAAAACTCTGAATTCAGGATTTACCATTTTTTATGGCTTTGTGCAGCCATAAAAAATGATTTTAGTGTGATTTAACTTTGGATTATTCATCGGCAGCAAAAGTAAAAGGTGCCCAGGGTCTGATTCCTGCTGGAAGCCACCTCTTTGTCACCTCTATCTGGAGGACCAGACCTGGGCAAAACACTTCCCTTCTCTGCGTTCCTTTCAGCCTCATGAATGTCAGATCCATGAGGCTCTTGTTGCTTCACTGTAAGTTTATTGAACATAGTGGCATCACTAATAAACTTTTGATGTAGTGACCAGATATCACTCAGCAAGATTTGATCTTCGTAAATGTACGAGTTTACATTTCAACCTAATAGAATGTAAGTTCCACAAGGCCAGGGAATTTTGTCTGTTTTGTCAAAATCAGTGTATCCTAAGCACTTAATACAGTGCCTGGTACACTGTAGTAGATGTTCAAAAAACATCTGTTGAAAGGATGAGTAAATGGGCCCATGTGGGCCTTGAGCTTCTTTCTATCAAAACATAGATCTGTGCACTTGACTTTCCAGGGTGTTTAACATATAGGCTCTACCCCCAGGTTTTAAACTAGGGCTTCATTGCTGTTAAAGAAATCTTGAACATATGTCTCATGGAAGAGTTTTTGAACATGGATCTCTTTTTGGTCCCCCCAAATCACTGTCAAGATCAGCTATGTGATAACAGAAAGTACTTTGCATAAGAAAGTACTGGTAGACTGCTGTGTTACTGGTTCAGAAACTGCGTGTATTTGAGTGTTTGTGATGCAGGGGTTTGGGGGAAATATTTTTGTAATCCTCTTTCCCATTTCACATATGCTTCATTTCATGATTTTCCTCTTTCTTCTCCCTTAGCAATGTAGAGCTGAGCTTCCTTTAAGACAATTTTATTTATCACCCTCTTTTTAAAGCAGAGTGTTGTAGAACTCACCTTTGACACCTTGGGTGAGGTTGCTGCTGTGCTTGGTGAGGGTGTATTTTCTAGTTCTGATGATGTAGGCTGGGTGTGGGGTGAGACTTAGCAGAATCTTTTCCCTCTTTTTTCTTTTTGGCTTGCAAGGTGGCATACACAGGGAATAGACTCACTGGCTCCTTCCCGGTTTTTCTTAAGGCCAAGTTTGGACAGCCAAGGGAAAGGGGTGAGCTGTGAGGGTTTATAGAAACTGTGGCACTCTGGTTGAAATAAAAACATTTCACACATTTAAAAATCCACAGATGGATTTTTGTTGAAGAGGAAGATGAAGTGAGCTTGCACCTCAGTTCCGATTATCTGTAAACCTTTTTTTTTTTTTGATCCATGCATGTAATTTTTATTTGTTTGTTTTGATTGTCTTGGGAAATAGAATGAAAGGTAGTTCTCAAAAGAGGAACTTCAGTTTAGAAATCTAGGCTTAGAGAACTCACTGTTTTTTAGTTTATGCTCACAGATACTGAAATTTGAGTTTCCCTGTTCCCGTCTCACCCTGGGACGTGGGTGAGAAGATTCGAGTTCCAGGCTCCATCCTGGTGCCTGCTAGCTGGGCGATGGCAGCGGGCCACACTGGGCCCCCTCATCCCACCCTTCTCCCCTGTCCATGGGGACGATAACACTGACCTGGCAGATTTGTTGTGGGACCTGAATCAGACCAAGCAGGAGGAAGAACACTAAAATTGTGTGAGATTCTCTTGTCCTAAAGGTCGTGTGTGCATCTCACCTCCCTTTCCCCTTGATGTGTGATCTATCCACTGGAAAAATTAAAATTACTTTTTGCTATGGTTGCTCTTTGTCTTCTTTGTTTAAACTGGTACAAAGTTTAGAACCACATTTAGAGCACCTTAGACTTTCATTTTGTGTGATAGCCTCATTTCTCTGTTTTCTGCCTCTTTCTTTGTTTCCCTTTGTTCTTTCTGATTTACACTATCTGGCTGTATGAGTACTATATGTGTCTTGATATAAGCAGCTTTAGATCCCTTTTGGAACATGTTGTTAGGTGAAGAACCAGCCAGCTTAATAAACATTGCTGCACAGATTCACTTTCTCCTCTGACTTTAGACAACGAAGCCATTCAGAGAGAGGTGTGGGCTCCGCTGCTCCCCCCTCAGAGGCAGTCCCAGTGTGAACGATACTCTGTTTTGAAGAACCCGCTTCTGTTCTGGGGGTAGTGACCAATTTTGTTATCTTCATGACTAAAAATAACCTAGAATTCTTAGCTGATACTGTTCAGAATTGGGAGTTGCTAGAAAAAAAATGCTCTGAATTAAACAACCTTTATTTGTGTTGAAATTGGCCATTTTAAAAAAAAATAAACTTTATTTCAACTTTTTACATGTGCCATCAGGGAGTGTTTAACTAAAGAAAGTACTTTACTGTTTCAAGAAAGGTGCTTATACAGATGTATTTTTCATCGTCCTTTAGTGTGTCCTTGTTTGGGACAGAGTTCTAGATCATATCCAGAAATAAGAAATAGAGACAGGGCCCTGTGGGACTGATGTTAATATTTTGAGTATTGTCAATATTTTATCACAGCTTTCTTTTATTTGCATTGTACGTGATGCTGAAGGGTTATCTGCTCTTTAAGTGTGATTTCATTGTCAATTGACTTTATACTAATCCTATTTATGAAAAATTTTGTTGGTCTACTCACCTGTTCTCTAAATTGAAACTGACTAGTACGAATAGATGATCTGCAACCATGGTTTAATTTATTGATAGGGTCTACAGCAAATGATTGGTCAGTCTGAGACTCAGGCCATATTCTTATCTCCTGATCAGTGCTAAGCTTAAATCTCAGGGAAGAGTTTGTTTTCCATGAAATCTCATGGAAGACCAAAAACACCCAAGAAGTTAACATATACATATCATTACCAAGTTTTTCAGGGTTTTTGAACTTCTGCTATATCTGAATGGCCAGAATAAGAATTTCAGCCAAACCCAGATAGTTTAAATTCACCTCAGTCATTTTGGCCTTGTGAATTTAATCTAAAAGAGCTCATGAGGGCTTTCTGGCAAAGAAAAAAGTCTCTAATGTTTGTAATGCTGTACTAATAAATTTGTGTAATGTAATTCAGTAAAATTTATTTTCTTTTTCAGTTCTATCGGGAGGACCATTGCCTCAAGGACATGAATTTGAACTGTATGAAGTTAGATTTCATTGGGGAAGAGAAAACCAGCGTGGTTCTGAGCACACGGTTAATTTCAAAGCTTTTCCCATGGAGGTAAGAATACCGAATCATTTTGTAGTTCGAGAAAACTGTTCAGTGATTTACTGAAAATGGTCTAGTTTAAAAGTAGATGCATAGCTCTTGAATTTTATCAATCTATACTAAAATGAAAAAATACTTAATGAAATACAAGCTTGGGGCAGCAAATGCAACTTCTCATCTACTTCAGCAGGCTTGGAGTAACACTTGAGCAATTGGCCATAAAGGCCACCTACCTTAAGTTCCATCCTAGTGCTGTTGCTGTTGTAAAAATTCTGCTGCCTCTGCAAGTTCAACAGGTCACTTTTGTAGGTGCTATGAACAGGTGATCAGCTGAAAATAAGTAACTGTGGGAGAAACCTCAACAGTAATTAAAAGTCTAGTTTGGCTCATTTAAAACTGATAGGTTGGTTTTATTCACCCCAAGCCATTGCAGGGAGGAGAAAGAGAGATTTTTCGAGAGTGATTCTTTTGTCTGAAGAATTCCCTTCCCAACTTATCTTCTTAGTTAACTCCTGCTCTGTCTTCAGTATTCATTTGAAGTGTCATGTCTTCTGTGGGACTTTTTGTGAGTCCCTTCCCTAGGCAGGATTCAGTTCCCCATCTCTGTGCTCCTGCATACTTGCTAGGTAGCTGCCGTGGCACTGGTCCTGTGGATTGGAGCGTCGTGTCCACTGCGTCTTTCTTATTGACTGTGGCTGATGAAGACAGGGTCTCCCTCTCATCCCCCTTTTTACTGCCATCACTTAGCCAGGCACTTGGCAGACAACAATCCATGTCGGTGTAATTGAGGGATGTCCCCGTTGGTCCAGGCCTTGTTTATATTTCTTTCTATAAGGAACCTCAGTTGTCTCCAGGAAAAAGCCATTTGGTGGCATGCATGTAAGAGTATATTTTGGGCCTGCTGGGATGCCAGTCTTTTTTCTCTGTCATTCCCAACTCTGTATATGCTTACTATTAAATATGGATTGCTCATGGCTAGATACCACATCCAGTACCACCTCAGGGACTGGAAATCACTACTGTATATGCTTATGTAAATGATATGTATACTTTAGAGGGTTAAGTTGAAGTGCTTTTCAGCATTACTTTAATTATAATTATATAAAAAAAAATATTAAATATGGATTGCTCATGGCTAGATACCACATCCAGTACCACCTCAGGGACTGGAAATTACTACTGTATATGCTTATGTAAATGGTATGTATACTTTAGAGGGTTAAGTTGAAGTGCTTTTCAGCATTACTTTAATTATAATTATATAAAAAAAAATCCTTTGGAAGCTCAGGATATCCCTTTCATTAAAAAAGACCCAAGCCTTAAAAGTGAAATGTCAAACGTTTTCAGGATGGAAGGAAAAAAACCCCAAATTGTGGTAAGCTGAAGAGTGTACAAGGTATGTGATACTGAGGACAGTGGGAGAAGACAACTTCTTAATGGACTGGATGGGGAAGGTCTTCTGTGTCACCTTTCTAGGAGCCGTTTTTTCAATATCTACAGACATCCTCTTATTTCTACTGCCTTGAGACAATTCTGTGTCACCTCTGGGTACTGCCCTATCCTCAGCCAACCGGAGAAGGAAGAGTTAACACCATAAATCATCAAAGAGGAGAGAGGACACAAAACAGTCTAAAACAAGTAGAGCCGCTGGTGGTGGAGGGCAGGGTGAGGGGCGGGACCAGCCCTGGACCGCCTGGGCCTCAGCCCTGCTCTCTTCCTTGGGTTTGAAAGTCCACCTCATCACTTTGTCTCAACCAGTCCTCAAAGATGGACTTGAGCAATCAAAAGTTTCAGGGAGACATGGGCATAAATGGGTAGGCAAGAACTTCTGGATAGGAGTTCTGTGGCTTTGGTTGTGACACACAGAATTTACAGCCTTGGGAAAGTTTAGTTAGATTTGGGCAGTCATTAATCTGTGCTCTTTGCTCACAGTCAGATAGAACTTCCAGACCAAATGTTCAGACTGGTCCAGGTATTTGGTGGCATTTTAACTGCCGCATTCTGTTAGTCACAGGTAATGGTTTGTCTTGAGTGAAGATTAAATTCTGGTAGTAGGGCTTTATTTCTGCAGAAATATTTATATTTAAGATAATGGAATTACTGACTAATTTTTCTAAAATAGGTGACAAATAATATTTATATTCTTTATTATCTCAGATTATCCCTGATCCAGTCCCAGAGAAAATACTTGCATCAGTCATCCAACATTTGTTTAGGGCTCTAGCCTATTGAGTGTGTAAATGCTGTGGGTGTGCAGGTCTCTTGCAAGTGCTGTGAATACTGAGCTAGATTTTAAGGAGGAGCAGGCTGTTGATGTGGTGAGGGGATCTCCATGTGGAAGAACATTCCAGGAGTGGGAATGAGTTGTCTAATGCAGAGTTATGTAGATCACTTATTACTGGTCCCCTGGTTCTGAGCTACCACCAGGGGCCACCTCAAACACAAGGGCATGGCCAACAGGACAGTGGAGAGTGAGGGGACCAGGCACCCTCTTGGGTACATGATTTATTTATTTTTTCCATCTTGTTGTGTTGAGGACCCCTTTCCGAATTTATTTACATTTTAAAGCTTTAATCTCAAAATATTTATCTCAAAGTCACATATGAGGGGTCTTCAAAAAGTTCATGGAGGGCCGGCCCGGTGGCACACTGGAGAGTGCACCGCTTGGGAGCGCAGCGGCGCTCCCACCGAGGGTTCGGATCCCATGTGGAGACCGGTTCCCACTCACTGGCTGAGCGCGGTGCGGGTGCAACACCGAGGGTTGCGATCCCGTTGCTGGTCCCAGGTATGGGCGTGACACCGAGGGTTGCGATCCCATTACCGGTCAGTAAAAAAGACAAAAAGGAAAAAAAAAAAAGTTCGTGGAAAGATTCATATTATTTTTCCATTTTTCCATGAACTTTTTGAAGTACCTTTGTATCCGTGCATCTAGATTCTTTTTGTTGATTTCACTTAAAATTAAATGGGTAGTTTGTTAAACAAATACTATAAATAAATATTTACCACATCTGTTACATTAACACCCAGGAATGGCTTTTAACAAAAATTCACCAAAAGTCTCCCCTTCAATTTTTAAAATTCTAAATACAAGTATAGCAACAACCCTGGGTATATTTTTGATAGTACTAGTAGTCAGCGCCCACACTGCTTCAAAACTTAACACAATTTGTGACTTTAAAAAATTTAAACTGCACTTTTTCACTAAGCAAGATGGATAAGGCGTGCCATTAGTGTTTTTCATTCTTGGGATTTTTAGTTTTCAGAAGCACACATGCCTCCCCAGCCATGTGACACTTCTCTCCATGCTTTCCTCTTGTAAACATGCATCCACTATGCGTAGGTTTATTCTAAATGGCAGTGCCTTAGCAAGAGAAAAAAATCATTGTGTTGCATTTTTCCTCTCATTACCTGAAAACATGATGGCTATACATATATTAAATATGTTCTTACACATGTCTGGGTCACGTTTTCCAGCTAGAATTCTTTTATTTAATGTGTGGATATTTTTCATTGTGATATTTAATCAAGACATTAACACAAGTAGAACATTGTTAATTTAAGACAAGTTTGAGATCCACTAAAATTAATTCTTGTGTGTTTGTTGCTCTGGTGGGTGGGAAACTTCTTATTTTCTTTGGACATCGTTAGACATCTTAGCTTGTGAAGTTCAACTTTAGTGCTATATGAATTTTGCCATTTTGCTAACACTGGTATGCTCTGTGCATACAACATTCCACTGGAATTATTTATTTCATTCACATTCATTTTTGTTTTAAATCTGGGACAGATGCTGGGTGTTTAGGTTCGCGGTTCACATTCGACTTTCAGGCTGTATGTTGTGTTTTTGTGATGTGTCTGTGGACAATGCTGTCTTTTTTGCTGCTTGTAAGTAGCCTAACTGTGGTCTGTATAATTCTTGGTAATTATGATTAATCATCACACATAAATAGTTACTCTCGTAATTCTATGGGGGAGTGTTTACCAGGCATTTAGATTTATGCTGGGTCAATAAAATTCAGGAAAAAAAAGGGATGGGGAGACCAACAGAATGGCTAAATTTTAATTTTCCCAAATGAGAACGTCACTAACTCTGGACTGTCGCCATCATTTTATAAAGAGAGGATCTTTAATGCCCAAATGTAGGAAGGATGTGACCTCAGAATAAAGCATGGACCCATAAATTGAATGGATTTAGCTTTTTAAGAACTCAAGACATTATTTCCGTTTTTCTTGTTTCAGTGCAGATGAATGATAGTTTTGCCAGGGATGGACACTGAACCCGACCCCAGAGTAGCAGGACATCATGGATGGTGATTCTAAGTTTCTTGCCCTCTGGGTCTAAAAGTCGATGATTTAAGACTGAATGGCCAAGAAAGAGGTACAGCTACGCAAATATTGTAGGTCAGAACCTATTTTTATTTATACTGTATTTAAAGAGCAGCGTTGGTCTGTGTACCCTGAGAGGGCTCAGTGATAATTGAGCCACATAGCAGCTATTTGTGGAGAGTAGAGCACATTAGGTAGAAAAAAATGTTTATTGTGCAGAGCAGGATTCTTTAATTGAGAAGGGTCCAGGCCTTGGTTGCAAAATAGGTCAACAGAAATATTATGAAAACTATATTTCGTAATATAGTGCTAACCCTGAATATTACATTTGCTCCCTGCACCCTCCCCTCCAAAAAAACCCGGAATGTACCAGGTTTCTAGACATCCCGCGTTTCTTCTTTTCTCAGGCAAATGGTAGTGTCTATCACTTAAGTGGTTTTTGTAGTAAAAATGACCTGGTCTTTAGGGTTACTGCCTCCCACATTATTTTCATATTTTCCTGGCAGAAGTGTATTTATTTTTATTTACTTATTTGACTACTCTGAGAAGATTCCAGGAAGAGTTTGCCTGGTTAGTAATGAAATGATGTTCTTTTCAAGTTATTTTACTTCCAGGAACGTCTCAGGTAGAGCTTCGTGTTTGTGACTCTCTTCTAAAAGTAGGGACTTTCGTTGACTCTTCAAGAA